CCGCCCCCAAGCGCGGCCCGGCGGCGCGGCCGTCGCCGAGCCGCGCGCAGGCTCCGCGCGACACACGGGCGATAAGCTTCTCCTGGCCAGCGCCCTGCCCGCAGCGCCCGCAGGCCAGCGCGGCCCATGACGACGAGGACCGCAGCGCCAACGCTGACTCCACGGGCAGCCGTCGCCGATCCGATGCCGTCCAGCTTCTGCTGCTGGGCCGCCGGCTCGTCGAGGTGGGCCAGCTCTGCCCTGGGCTCCGAGAGCGCGTCGCGGCGCCCCTCGACCTCTAAGATCCTCTGGGCGGCCTTGGCCGCGAGGCCCTGAAGACCGGTGGAGGCCCGCGCGATCCACCCGACGAGCTGGAAGATCACCTCGGCGCAGCCGCGGCGCACCTTGGCGACGGCGCCGTCCTCGCGGCGGGGGCCAGCTCCAGCCTGGGCTCACTTGTCGGCATTGGCCGTTGCCTCGCAACTGCCCCTCCGCGAGATGCCTCGCTTTCGGGGGAGCGTAAGACCCGGGTTTGCCAGGACTCGGGTTCGCCATCGTTTTTTGACGACCGCGCCTCGGATTTTGACGAGGAGGAGTTTCGTGGGATGTCTGCAGCGGGAGGCCTCGTCAAAACGCAGGCTCGGCCTCGTCATTTTTTTGACGACCTCGTCGGGGATTTCCGAGTCCCCTGTACCCAGGTCTTACGCCCCCCTGACATTTCGCGAACAGCCTGCACGGTGCACTGCGCGGGCACCCCGGCGATGTCCAGGCCCCCAACCCGAGGGCGAGGTCGGCCTGCCGGGGGCCGCCGCGCACGCCCTGCGGCGACGGAGGCACGAGACCGAGGAGCTGCAGCCGACGTTGACCTGAAGGATCGCTGGCCCGCCGTCGCTTGGAAGTGACAGCGCCCCGGGTTCCTTCCTCCCTCCTTTCCTTCCTTCCTTCTTGCTCCCCCTCCTCCCTCCTCCCCTCCTTGCCTCTGCCCTCCGCATGTCTTCGTCGCCGTCTCCCTGCCCAGCACAGTATTTCGTGGCCCCATGAGAAGCTACACCGAAGGCCGCCTCGGCGGTGTCCACATGCGTCTCCCTCGCGCAGCATGGCGTTTCGTGGCCCCTGCGGGAGCCCCACCTAAGGCCCAGACGGCGGTGTCCACATGCGTCTCCCCCACGCAGCACGGCGCTTCGTGTCCCCGTAGGGAGCCCCACTGAAGGCCCCAGTGGCGGTGTCCACGTGCGTCTCCCCCACCCAGCATAGCGCTTCGCGGCCCCATGGGGAGCTCCATCTGAGGCCCCAGTGGCGGTGTCCACATGAGTCTCTCCCACGCAGCGCAGCGCTTCGTGGCCCCATGGGGAGCTCCACCTAATGCCCAGAAGGAGGTGTCCACATGCGTCTCCCCCACCCAGCATAGCACAGCGTTTCCGCATGGGGAGCTCCACTAAAGGCCCCAGTGGCGGTGTCCACATGCGTCTCCCCCATACATACAGCAAAGCGTTTTGTGGCCCAATGATGAGCTCCATTGAAGGCCCCAGTGGCGGTGTCCGCATGCGTCCCCCCCACCCACCACAGCGCTTCGTGGCCTCATGGGAGCTCCACCTATGGCCACAGTGGCGGTGTCCACATGCGTCCCCCCCCACGCAGCACGGCGCTTCATGTTCCCATGGGGAGCTCCAATTAAGGCCCAGACGGCGGTGTCCACATGCGCCTCCCCCACGCAGCACAGCATTTAATGGCCCCGTAGGGAGCGCCATTGAAGGCCCCAGTGGCGGTGTCCACATGCATCTCCCCCACCCAGCATAGCGCTTCGTGGCCCCATAGGGAGCTCCATCTAGGGCCCCAGTGGCGGTGTCCACATGCGTCTCCCCCACGCAGCACGGCGTTTCGCGTCCCCATAGGGAGCCCCACCTGAGGCCCCAGATGCGGTGTCCACATGCGTCTCCCACATAGCACAGCGTTTCGCCAAGGGGAGCTCCATTGAAGGCCCCAGTGGCGGTGTCCACATGCGTCCCCCCATACAGCACAGCATTTTGTGGCACCATGGGGGGCTCCACTGAAGGCCCCAGTGGCGGTGTCCGCATGCGTCCCCCCCACCCAGCACAGCTCTTCGTGGCCCCATGGGGAGCTACACCGAAGGCCGCCTCGGCGGTGTCCACATGCGTCTCCCCCACGCAGCACGGCGTTTCGTGGCCCCATAGGGAGCTCCACCTAAGGCCCAGATGGCGGTGTCCACATGCGCCTCCCCCACGCATCACAGGGTTTCGTGGCCCCATGGGGAGCTCCACTGACAGCCCTTAGCCTGCATGCAGAAAACGTCGAATCCACAGCCCAGGCACTACAACTTGGAAACCATAGGGAATCCCCCCATTCCGTTTGTTCCCCTAGTTCGCCCCCTTGTCTACTCTTGCACAACAGACCACAATGAAGGCTCCAGAAAAGAACACAGGAAGCCTCCGATGGCCCCAAATCGTTGAATACTTAACGCCAATGAATGATCTTTGCGTTTCAGCAGTTCCCCTTCTATGCGATTCCGAGGCTTGCGCAGGGCCTCCAAGAGAGTCCCTGGATGCAAGAAGCGACACGGATGATACCCCATGGATTCGCCCATCAAGTTTAGCTAGAACTTGAGCGCGCGCGAAGCGCGCGCATTGGTTCTAGTTTATCTGTCAGATCATCTGCACCCTAAGCATAGCGACTGTCACAGGGTGTACTAGCTTTTTCCTGTTTCCCCATGTGCAAACACAGGTTGTTTCATGTTGTTAGTGTGTTCTCCTGTCTTCCTCTTTAGCTTTCCTGGGCCCACGGTGCCGACACTGCAGATCCCGCACAATTCAAACCTTCTTGTAGGGCCGCCACAAAAGTAATCCCTTTGCACAGTCTGCTACAAAGGGATTTTAATTGTGGGGGGCCACTGCAGATCCCCCACACTTGAAATCCTTTCGTAAGGTCGCCACCGAAGGGATTCTTTTTGTAAAGGCCGCTAGACAGGGATTTGAGTTGTTAGGGCATCCGCACTCTAGACATAGCGCCAGCCACAGGTTTTCCTAGCTTTTCCCTGATTTCCCATGTGATACATAAGTTTTTTACAGTTGTTCTTGTTTTTGTCTTGTTATCCTCTTTAGCTTTCCTGGGCCCACGGTGCCGCCACTGCAGATCCCCCACACGTCTTTGCACAGACTGCTACAAAAGGATCTAAATTGTGAGTGCCATTGCAGATCCTCCACACTTGAAATCCTTTTGTAATGTCGCCACACAAGGATTCCTTGTGTAAGGGCGTTACAAAAAGACCTTGGGAGAAGAAGAAGAAGGAACGGGAATATGAAGAATATCGAAGACGACGAACATGCATGATGAGTAAACTTGTGATCCATAGTGTTCCAATCGCCAGGAAACATACAACCACTTGGTTTGTAATCGCACGAGCGGTGGGTCCTACAAGGGGAACCCTCCTCGATCTCGTGAATTGTTGGTGATTGGTGCGGTCCGAACCAGGTTGCCCCAGTAATGCCCAAGGGATTGATGGAAGGAGGCAGATACCAGGGGTCGACCAAAGCGTTGTTGCGGTGATCTCGTGGATGGTTTTCGTTTTCTCTTCGTTTTCGTGTTGTTCCCACCCTTGGTTCACCATTGGCCATCAGTCGGACCGGTTTCGTTGTTAAACGCTTCGGTACAAGCGCGAATCGAAAACGCACAGCGCTGTTTTGGCGGGGGGGGAGGGGAGAGAGGGTGGTCCGGTCGTGTGGCCCCCGACTGCCCACCCTCTCCCCGAGGCGAGCTGCCATCGCCACGAGGCCAGCACTGAGGAGGAGGAGGAAGAGGAGGAGGAGCAGCAGCAGCAAGGGCAGTCTCTCGCCCGCCTTTCCACCGCCCTGATACCTGCATACTCTACGCTACGCCGCCCTTGCGGGCTTCTATACTTGTTCCGTTTCTCATTGCGTCGTTTGTCCAAGCCGCGCGCCTCTTCCCAACATCCGAGCGCACAGTTGTGCAGCTTATCTCCGCACTGAAAAACAAGAGCAGCCAGAGCTGGAGAGGGAGGAGGAGAAGGATAAGCAGACACTGACCACGAGCAGCAGCAGCAGAAGCATGATCAGGACGAGTGGAAGGACGAGGAGGAGTTTTGGGCGGAAGGGAACGGGAGGACGATGAGAAGGAGGAGGAGGAGGAGGAGGAGGAGGAGGAGGAGGAGGGGGAGGGTGAAAGGGAGGCGCAGGGGGTGGCGGCGGGAGAGGCAGAATAGCAGAATGAAGACGGCAGTGTGACTTGCGTCCCGCCCCACCAACCACAACGGGAGGGCAGCCAACACTGCTACTCGCCACATCGTCGACAGACAAAAGATCTCCTGTAAGAAGTGGTGGCGCTGCTGCACGACGAGAGGCTGGCAGGCTCTGCTGCGTCTGTCCTCTGCCGTGGAGCTGCGCGGGCAGGGGCCGCCCGCCACTCTTCGGCAGCATGCCGGCCCAAAGGCCTTTTGAAGCAGCGATTGCAGACATTTTGGCCTTTGTGTTGACAGCTTCCTGCGCGCTGCTCTCATCGACGCCTAATATTAGTTGTGCGCACTAGGGGGTGGAGGGAGGGAGGAGGGTTTCTTAGAAGCAGAGGTGCTTCTTAGCAGCCTTTCCCCTTCCCCCTACCCTCCTCTGTGCGTGGCCGATAATAGCAATGGGTGCGTGTTGACATGCCGTTGAGTTGAGCGCTTACGCTTCGTCGATCGGCGATCGTCCAGGGACGTGCTCGTCTTGCCATCGGAGGGGGGGCCAGCGCTCGCCCCACGATCTCGTGTCGCCCCTGCTAAGCGGAGGTGGTTTCACGGCATCGCGAGGGACCCGGTGGTAGAGGGTTTCTCCGAAGGGTTTACGTAGGCGACTTGTCCTCCTCCTCATCGTCCTCCTCCTCCTCCTCCTACCCCTCCTCCTCCTGCTCCTCCTCCTCCTCCTCCTCCTCCTCCTCCTCCTCCTCGTCGGGCCGCCTACGGCCCGGGGGGGAAACCGTGCAGTTTCATGGCATCGCGAGGGGCCCGGTGGGAGGTCTGAGCTCATGGGCAACCGCTACAAGGTACTTGATCGTTTTCGTGCTCGAGCCTTCCCTCTCGGGCTGGAGCGCTGCCTGCAGCAGCTGGAGCGCGCATGTGCCGAATACTGGTTAAGTCTACTTCTAAAGTTCTCGGGGCCTGGGGTTGCAGTCGTAGCGAACGTACCAAGCGTGATTGTCCAATCTGGCCCTGTTGATCAGTGAACGTGCTCATCCGTCTTTGTCTCTCTGTCCATTTCGGACCCCCTGATTGCCGAGGATGCGTTCCAGGTGGAGCTCGTTTGCTGCCATTCGTCAGGGGAAACAAGTGCCTCCCTTTTCAGCGCGCCCACGGAAAAGCAGGAGCTGTAGCATGCCAGCTGGCCAGGCGGGGTCCAAAAGAAGTCTTCTGGCCACAGTTTCTGCACACAGGGGTTCCAAACATTTCCAGTGTGGCTACTGCACAGTAGCGGCTCCTCTCCCCTTGATGAGCGGGCGGAGGAGGAAACATCTGAGGAGGAGGAGGAAGAGGAGGAGGAGGAGGAGGAGGAGGTGGAGGGGAAGGAGAGGATCAAGGAAGTGCTAGTGAAACCCGGGAGGAGAAAAGCACCAACGGCCTCGAGTACCATGTTCCTGCCCTTAGCTCTTCCACTTCCTCGTTCGTTCTCCCACTGGCTGTCCTCCTCCACCTCGCCATGAACGGAGGACGAGGTGGAGCTGGAGGTGGATAGGGGCACACCGAAGACGAGGACGCGGACGCGGACACGGTGGTGGATGATAGTGAGGATGTGGAGAAGAATGAGGGGACACGGTGGGGGAAGCAGGCAAGAAAAAAGAAGAAATGGGGAGGAGGAGGATACTAGAGTAGACTATCCGACCCTTCTCATGAAGCGTTTGTATTCACTGTTGCTGTCTTTTCATCTCTACAATATTCTCAGTTGTTTACCTCGGGGTGTCCAAGGTGTCTCCCCTCGAGAGGTCCAGGCATGCCTGCCAGTGGTGCGGGCCTAGGTCTGGAGACTGTGCTGAAGTGAGACTTCGAGGACTTCCGCGCTCTTGGCTACGCGCCAGGAGGAGGGTACCAGAGCAATTCCACTCAGCATTGAGGCTGCAGTAGATCTTCCCGTCACATGCCCGTCTTCATGAGCCAGTGCAGGCACTCATCTCTCTCGCTGTGGCCCGAGCTTCCGCTGCAACAGGCGCGAGCGCCGCGGTTCCATCGTGGCCTGCCCCAGGTCGGGGGGGAGGGGGTGGGACCCGTGATGCCCCCACGGTCCTGCCACCGGCTTGAGGCGGGGATGTGGCAATGCATTTGTCTCAAACTTACCCATCGGTCGTTGAAAGTAGGTATTTTTGGATTCCCAGATTCCAATCTACTTTGAGCGCCTTCCTACTTCAAGAGTCGAGTGGTTTTCCCTCTTCCCTCCTCTTCAGGAGGCGGGCGGAACCCCAATCTATTCCCAACTCCTTCCTACTTCATGTTTCTACCCACTTCTTCCGACCGGTGGGTAGCTGCGCGTCTGAAGCAATAATTGCCATTCGGTTTCTTCATAGTCGTTCCTCTGGGCAGCCTTTGCTCGGGCAAGTCTGTTTCTCTGCATGTGCCGGTGCTTCGGGTCGTCCTTCGCCGGCTCCGACCCCCGGTCGTCAGACCCCCCTCTGCAAGCAAAGGAGTGGCGGCAGACTGCCGCAGACGCGCGGGCGCAGCGTGTCGTGCGGACGGCAACGGTGGGGGCGTGAGACGTGGGGGGGATCGGAGACCGCAAGGAAGTGACCACGACCGGGCCGTACAGGGCCACACGAGGTGCCACCGCCAGCCCAAGAGGTGCTCGAGAGGTGCAGGTGTCTTCACCCCCCTCAGAAAACGTGGGGGGCAGGGGTAGGGTTCGCATGTGGCCCCCGCTATCGAGCATCTGATATATACCGCGGGGTGCTGCGAGCGTAAAAACTCCGTGGCCTGGCCCGACCCGGTGGACCGAGGTGGCGAGAGCACTGCCGATGTCTCGTGGGCGCCCGCCCGCGGCCACGCGAAGACGCGACCGCACGGCGCGGACAATCGCAGACAGAGGGGGGACCGCCCTCCTTTTCTTTTCCAGGGGGGACGAGCTCCTCCCCGCCATCCCGCCGAGGAAGCGCAAACAAGGTTCAAGGCGAGTGGATTAGCGGCGGGCCCAATTTCAATGTTGAGTCGGCGCGCTCCGTCGCCAAATCGAGCGGCACTGGTCGACAAATTTGGCGACGATAGTAAACTCCTGGTGTGGACGACGACGATTCTACGGATGGCCAGGTCCTGGTCCGTCTCGTGGTCCTCGCTTTCCCCCCTCCCTCTGCACGCTGTCCTCCTCACCCGCATCCTTGTCGTCCTCCTCTTCCCTCTTTTTGTCTTCTGATTATTATTGTTGCTTTCTTCTTCTTATTCTCCTTACTGTTACTAATCTGTATCATTATTAGTGGTCTTATTATTCTTACGAGCCGACTGGGCAAGGGCGGTGCTTCCCGTTTTTGCCAGTCTAGTGTGCAATTTAGAGGGCCGCAGAGGGAGGGACGCGAATTGGAGGTGGCGGACGCAGAGGCAAAAGCCGCCTCCGCCCCAGATGGCTACCCACCTCTACGACTGCTACTGGGGCACCGGAAACAACGCCGAGCAGACTCAGACGAAGGGCCCCTTGGGCTTCGGGGTTCGCCGCGCGACCCGCCTCGCTCCTCGCGCCTTCTCTGGCGTAGGAGGGGCGGTTCCAGCAGCATGCCGTGCCACTTCTATTGCATCTTTCGTCAGTATTCCACCCAGCCCCTCTCTTCTGCCCAGGCCTTGGTCCACCCACAGCTTCCCCTGATCCCCACTTTTTCCCCACGGGGGAACACAAGAAGTGCGATGAGGGGTGGGAAGATGCACGTTCCCGTCTTCATGAGCGTGCGGGGCGTTCGCGCTCAATGCCGAATATGTGATGAGCTGAGCATGCGTCAAGCGGCGTTTTGTTGGACAGCGCCTTCAGGCAATATTTGGACACGTGGGAATTGTGGACCCCAAGCCACGCTCCCGAGGCGTCAAGATGAATTGCACAATGTTCCGTTGTTTGGCTTCTTTGAGATATCTACAATCATCATTACAGAGAATTCGGACGGCCTGAGGCCACTTCAGTCAGCACCCAGAGAACGGTTGCGGGTCATTTCGTTTGTAATGGAGATTCCCCTCAGCAGCGTCAACCCGCATGCGCAGACGATCCCAGCGAAACACGTCAGCCCGCAGAGGATACATCATTCCGGACCTTTCTGAGCAACAACCGTCGACGCCTGTCGTACCGATTTTGTCGAGCCCGCGCTTAGCATGCTTAGCGGCGCTGTCTTTCCATAAGGCCTCATTGTCTCGGTCGTGCCACGCTGGGGGCGCAATAGCGAGCGCCCAATATAGGAGTTCGAAGAGGGTCGTCCGTTTGCCGCTTTTCCTGTTTGCTGCCTGCCCTGCTTTAAGCCTTGCTCTTCCATTTAGCTCTGGTGGATCTAGGCAGTTCGTGGACCCCACCGTTTCATCACATGCGCACGTCTCGAATTTGGGACAGGCTCCCCCCGGGAAGGGTACTATTGGCGTCATGTTTCCCCCCCCCCTTGTGTTCGTCCGTCTCCTCCTCGTCCTCCTCCTAATCCTCCTAATCCTCCTTCTCCTACTCCTCCTCCTCCTCCCCCTCCTCCTCCTCCTCCTCCCCCTGCTCCTCCCGGCTCCTCCTCGCTCCTCGCGGGAAGGCGGCTCCAGATAAGTCCGCGGTGCAGAACATCGCGGGGCAGGCCACTTGCCCCCCGAGGAAGACCATGCTCAGCGGCTGCTACGAGATGCCCTACGAGGAGATTCTGTGGCAGGGGCGGGAGAAGTGGCGGGATAACGTGCAAGATGAGAGGGGAGGAAGGGAGGACCGAGATGGATGAGAAGGGACAGGCGGGAGACGACCATGAGGGCGGGGGAAGAAGGGGGGGGGGATTAGAGGCGAAACGAGAGGGGGATGTGGGCATGTGATGAGCTGCGGCAAGGGAGACGTGAACGGAAGCCATGACGTTCGGACATATGTTTTCCCACCCCTCCCTTGGATGGGCTCCCGTTTGAATAGAGCAGTGGGATGCCAATTCCCTTCTCCACCTCCTCCCGCCCTCTGTCCCCCTCTCGCCTGCCTGCACCTGCCTGAACCTGCCTGCTGGGGGAGCGCACGGTGGCTGGGAGGCTGCGAAGTGGTGAAGTGTCGCCACTTTCGAGGGCTGCTGCCGGACCCCACACAGTGCGGCCCCACGCAGACACAAGCGGGACCTCGCCATCCCTGGAGGTCTGCGAAGTGTTAAACTGTCGCCGCGTTCGAGGGCTGCTGGGGGAGCGCGCACCGTGGGGCACCACGCAGACCTGAACGGGACCTCGCCATCCCAGGGGGGCTGCGAAGTGTGAAGCTGTCGCCTTTTTCGAGGGCTGCTTGGTGAGCCCGCAAAGTGGGGCCCCACGCAGACCCAAACGGGACCTCGCTATCCCTGAGGAATCGCGAAGTGTAAATTTGTCGCCCCTGCCCAGGGCTGCTGGGCGGGGCAGCACAGCGGGGCCCCACGCAGATCTACACGGGACCGCACCATCCCAGGGGGGCTGCGAAGTGTAAGCTTGTCGCCGCTTTCGAGGGCTGCTGTGGCAGCACACTGGGGCCCCACGCAGACCCTAACGGGACCTCGCCATCCCTGGGGGGCTGCGAAGTCTGAAATTGCTGCCACTCTCGAGGGTTGCTTGAGGAGCCCGCACAGTGGGGCCCCACGCAGATCTACGCGGGACCTCGCCATCCCTGGGGGGCTGCGAAGTGTGAAACCGCGCCACTCTCGAGGGCTGCTGGGGGTGCCAGCACAGTTGGGTGTCACGCGTATCCCAAAACGGGACCTCGCCATCCCTGGGGGGCTGCGAAGTGTGAAACCGTCGCCACTTTCGAGGGCTGGTGCGGGGGCAGCACAGTGGGGCCCCACGAACATCCAAACGGGACCTCGCCATCCTTGCGGGGGGCTGCGAAGTGTGAAATTGTCGCCATTTTTGAGGGCTGCTGGGGGGGCCAATTCAGTGGAGTGCCACGCAAATCCAAACGGGACCTCGCCATCCCTTGGGGGCTGCGAAGTGTAAAATTGTCGCCACTACCCAGCGCTGCTGGGGCAGCACAGTGGGGCCCCACGCAGACCCAAACGGGACCTCGCCATCCCTGGGGGGCTGCGAAGTGCGAAGTTGCCCTCACTTTCGAGGGGTGTTGGGGGGGCAGCACAGCGGGGCCCCACGCAGATCCAAACGGGACCTCGCCATCCTTGGGTGGGGCGTGCTGCGAAGTGTTAAACTGTCGCCGCTTTCTATGGCTGCTAGGGGGACCAGGGGACCTCGCCATCCCTGGGGGGGGGGGAGCTGCGAAGTGTGAAACCGTTGCAGCTTTGCGGGCTGCTGCGTTGCGCAACACAGTGGGGTCCCACGCAGATCCAGAGGAGGAGGTGTGGGGAAGGAGGACAGGGAGGAGGAGGAGAAGGATGAGAAGGAGGCGGAGGAAATATTGGAGGAGGAGAGGGAGGAGGAGGAGGAGGAAGAGGAGGACGAGCAGGTGTTGAGCATGTCGGCATGGAGCAACGCGGCACTTTCTTGCTTGGTTGCGTTTCCGCCTGTGTAACCTTACTTGTATGTTGCCCATGCTACATCATCATGCTGCTTCTGACGAGGTGAGTGTTTTTTTATACTCCCGATGTTTTTGTTTGGGGCTTTCCCTTTCCAATACAATGCCTCCTGGTCTTTCGTACCTCTGTTCTGCGTTCCGGCCAATCACACTTCGCACGATATACAGATTCGCCGTGCGCCGTCTCTTGCAACGTTGCTGTCACACGGTTGTCGGCACACCTTAGTGTGAAGAGTGCACTCCCCTGCTCCTCTGCCGCCCGTGCCACCGTGTGCGCATGATGTGTATGCATGAGTCATCATATCCTGCAGGGCCATGCCCAGCACTTCTTATATTCATGTTTGTGGCATGCACGCTGCCCGCCGCTGTTTTGGCCATAGTCCTAGGGCCCTGGGACTGCACCGCAGTTTCGACCGCCGCGCGGTCCGAGCGAAAACAACTGCACTGACATTGGTAGCGGAGCTTGTAAGCTCCAGCGGACGCACTGCGTGCTCTGCTTCGGTGGTTGTGACCACCCGCGTGGGCCGCCATGGCTGCCAGCCAAGACGGCTCAGACGCGGAGGCTGCGTCCTCCGCTGGCACAGGTCCCCCGGACCTGCATGCGGTCCTGCGCGTGATGGCTGAGACCCAGAGGGAGCTCTTGGCCTTGCATCGGGATCGCGGCGGCGACAGCGGTCCCAGACGCACACGTCTACTGCTGTCGCAGGTGAAGCCCCCGGAGTTCGATGGTGCCGTCGGTTCGAGTACCAAGAAGTACCGCGAGTGGCGCAAGGAGGTTGAAGTCATCCGCAACCTCAACCAGCTCTCCGACGTGGAGCTGGGCCTGATCATCTACAGTCAGGTGACAGGTCGGGCCAAGGAGCTCATCGAGGTACTTGACGCGTCGGACCTCCGACGCGAGGACACGCTCGAGACCATCTTTGCTATCTACGACGACGCCTTCGAGAAGATGGATCACGAGCGCCTCGACCAGGTGCATCAGGAGTGGGAGCGAGCACACCGTCGAGCTGGGCAGCCCATCATGGATTGGACAACGTACTTGCGCAAGAAGCGCATGGAGTTGCAGCTCGAGGATCCCACTTCAGCGATCAGCGATCGCGCGCTGGCGAGCAAGATGCTCCGTGGCGCTGGACTGTCGCAGAAGGAGCGAGCGCAGGTGCTCTTCAACTGTGGCGGCATCTACGACTCGAAGCGGATGGAGGTCGTGCTGAAGGCAGCCTACTCGAAGGTGCACGACACCGAGAAGCGCTCGGTGCTCCCTCGCCGCTCGCCGTTTGTGGCGGCGCAGCGTGAGCACGGGCGCTCCTCCGGGAGCTCGGGCGGTCGCTATCCGCACCCTCCCATGGCTCGCAGGCCATGCGTGCTGCGAGGACGCCCTGGCCAGCATGTGCACGAGGTGGAGAACGGCGAAGACTACGATGAACACCACGGCGACCTGGAGGAGGCGCAGCACGACGAAGATGAAGCAGATGAACAGGACGATGGAGACCCCGGAGCTGGCGAGGGGATCATCTTCGAGGACGGCGCCGAGGTCGAAGAGGAGCTGGCGTCGGACAACGACGGGCCAGATGACGAGGAGTACGAGGCACCGGAGGATCTTCAGGAAGCGTTCTTGGCCGGCTGGAGGGCCAAGCAGAAGACGGCAGTACAGCGTCAGAAGCGCGGGTTCGTTGCCCCTCGGCAGCGGGACCCCAAGAAGATCAACGCCAGCGGCTCCCTCCAGGGTGGTCGCAAGCCGACGGACCAGCGCAAGGCTAACAGCCGGTGTGCTGACTGCGATCAGCCTGGCCACTGGCGCGGCGACCCGGAGTGCCCCAAGGTGAAGAGTGGCGAGCGCGAGCCGTACAACAAGATCGGGCCTAAGAGTGGCCAGCCAGCGTCGCCCAACCAGCGGAGCTCTGTGAAGCCGCCGGCTCCAAGGCAGGCGCATGGACCGATCGTCCACTGGGTTGGCATGGCAGGCAGTGCCGAGGAGCGTCGTGGCCGCGCTCCATGGCGCCGTGCTCCCCAGTCGGTGCCTGCCCAGAGGCATCCGGTGGAGGGCCGACCCGATGCTCCAGGGCGGATCGTCATGAATCCCAGACCCGAGAGCATGCCTGCGCCAAGTCTACGCCGGGACGCCGACGATGGCCCCGGGCCCGCACAGAGCAGCGATGAACGTGCGCGCGCCCGTGCCAGGCGCGGGGAGGATCAGGAGGACGAGGATGCATGCGTGCAATGCCATCGTATTCTGGCCAACACCCACCCAAAGGGGCACAGCGTGGAGTTGGAGGTTCCTGACCTTGCCACGGTCCATCACATCGTGGAGCGCGTGACGAACAAGAAGCCCATCTTCTTCAAGCAAGGCCGCTTCGAGAGTCTCGACTTCGTCCAGGGTCGGCTCATGCGTCTGCAGCTGACCACGTCGAAGCCTTGCACGGCGGCTGAGGTGGATCTCGACGAGATCACGGCAACTATGTTCAAGATCGTGATGGGCGGCAATCGTGATACCAAGCATCGTGACGATCGGCGCGGTGAAGGCGAGAGTCGTGACACCAAGCATCGTGAAGATCATCATCATCGAGATCGTCGTGACGACCGCCAGCGCGATCGGGGGGCTGTTCTCCGTGAGCATCGTGCCCCTCCTCCGCCCGAGGCGGAGGCCTCCTCGCGTTCAAGGTCGCGGAGTACACCGGAGGGCCGCGGTGAGAAGGAAGAGGAGCGGAGCACACCAGAAGACCGCGGTGAGAAGGAAGAGAAGGAAGAAAAGAAAGAGAATGAGAAGAGGGCGAGGAGCAGCAAAGAAGAGAAGAAAGAGAGAAAGAAGGCAAGAAGCAGCAGGGAAGTGAAGAAGGAGGCTGAGGTGAAGAAGGAGGATGAGGCCAGCGAGGAGGATGAGGCCAGCGAGGACGACAACGATCAGCGGCGTGAGGATAAGGAGGTGCCGTTCACGCCGGAGGAGATGGATGAGATCTTCTGCAGCTGGTATCCGCGTCAGGACATCTTTAGGGATTACCTGACGCCGCCGGCAACCATCCACTTCATCACGAAGAACGACCGCATCGTGCGCCTCAACCTCTACACGCGCCGCTGCGAGAAGCCGGACTTCTCTCCAGCCAGTGGCCCTGCGAGGGCCTATCCTGTATTCGTGGCGGATACCGCAGCGGCGGCGTCGGCGAAGGGGGCATCGAAGACTAAAGG